GGAGAGGAGGGAGAGGATGAGTACCAGTTTCAGCCAAGACACCACCTGCAGGGGCAGTGTCTGTGGTTTGTTTCCTTGTGTAAGTTTCCCGAGGAAATGAGGCCCATCAGAGTCCTGAAGGAGCTGCTCCCAGAATTCATATGATACAAGTGGAGCTGTGCAGCACAGGGGTGAACTCTCAGGGATGCTGTATTGGGCCACTCAGATCCCTGTTTCAGGACGGAAGGATTTATTTTCCCCAGATGCTGAAGAGGTTTGTCCTCCCCCTTTAGGATCTGCCCAAGCTGAACAGAGCTGTTAGTCCAATTCATGCCCACTTCACCAGGCAGACACATCCAATGCCTGGTTGATACAGCAGTATAAAAGCCCAGCCTCCTCACCCCAACTCAGAACATCCTTAAAGGGCCACATCAACAGGGTTGGCTGAGCCTTGTTACGACTGCACCACATCCAACTCCTCCACCTGCCCTTTCCCCTACAGACATTGATCTCTACAGCACTCCCTAATGAACCTCCTCCATGATAATCTGTATCTCAGAGTTTGCTTCCTAGAGAACCCAGCCTATTATGGCATGTAATTAAGAAACACGGAAATAGCAAAAAACAGAGCTAAAAGAGTTGAAAGTGATAGTATAAGGGAGATGGCAACGTAGAGCTATTTTTCCTTGTAAGATTTCTTGTACCATTTGATTTTTAAGTATGTGTATATGTTTTTTATAAAAAATTAAGTATAATGTTATCAATAGGGGAAAGGATAAAAAAAGATTGCACTGGAGAAGCCATTATAATTGTGGGTCTAATTGTTTTCCATCTCATTTTATTTCCATTTGATGATTTCCAAATCATCAAAACCAGGCTCCAGGGAAGCCACTGATGCACCAAAATCCAACTCTCTTACCACATTATATGCAGACTGTTTCATATTCCCTTTCTCCTCATTGCATATTCTTTCTTGTACACATGCGTGTTCTCGTTCACACACATTCTCAGCACACAAACAGTCATCTTCTGAACTTTTTCTTCCCTGTTACTGTCTTCCATCATGCAAACTTTAGAAAAGTAGAAGACAATGAGGACATATTGACAGTATCTAGTAGATTCATCCTTTAGTTGATACATGGATTGGGAAGTCAATCAGTCAACTGAACATAGTTTGACATGAGATGTGTCTAATTCATCTTTCCTCTGTCATAAGGAAAATATTTGATGACTCAATCAGTCAGATCTAACTCATATGTGTATCTCACAAAGACTATCAAAAAATGCTCCCGTTATAACCGTCTGTCCTGGAGTCAAGAACCATATGCTCAAGAAATATGTTTTAAAGCAAACCAAACCTATCAATGGCAACGACTCATCAAATAAAAGTTTATGTTCGTTTAAAAAAGATATGGAAAATATCTAGAACTACAGGCCATTATGGACAAAGAGGATATCAAGATCCTTCAAATTTTCTACGTCACTAAATAATTGCCTAAACTCCAGATATTGGAAACACTGAGACCAGAAACATGTGTACTAAAAAGGAATTCTCGTCACAGCTTCACCACTTACACATTGCTACACGTCCCCTTGGGAGCACCACCTCATAGATCTATGTCTGGGGAATTTCATCTGTAAAGTTGAGACATTAACACTAAATAATCTTCCAGTGCTCTCCAGTTGTGTGATGGACTCTGGTCCAAGATTCTATTATAGATGGATGACAACACCACCTAATTAAAGGTAATTTCAAAGAATTGTCTTCTGTTTGGTTGGTTGTCTGACTGCTTCTTCTTGTTGCTCTTGTCTTTAACTTACGGGCTAAAGAATTTATTAAATGTTGGATTTTTTTAAGGAATGCTTTCTTTGATGAGAAAGATTGGCCTTGAGCTAACATCTGTTGCCAATCTTCCTCTTTGTTTCTTTTTGTCTCCCCAAAGCCCCAGTACGTAGTTGTATATCCTAGTTGTAGGTTCTTCTAGTTCTTCTATGTGGGATGCCACCTCAGTATGGCTTGATAAGCGATGCGAGGTCCATGCCTGGGATCTGAACCGGCGAACCCTGGGCCACCAAAGGGGAGCACGTGAACTTAGCCACTATGCCACCAAGCTGGCCCCACTATTAAATGTGTTTTAAAGAGCACTTGGGAAAAGATTTTTTTAAATGGAGCTATTTCCTAGAGTGGACAAGGGCCATTTCAGTGGCATGGTTTCTCAAAATTAAGATGTTATTTCCCATGGATGATCCCCCATTTCATATGCCATGCTAACTCTGCTCTATTTGCATATTGCACATTTGACTTTAATGAGATTTGGAAATTTAGTCTTCCCAAAAAGAGAGTGTTAATTATATATTGTTTTCATCTTTTTCATTTGAAACCACAAATAAAGAATTTTTAAAAACTTTTATGTTAGAGAAGAGTGTACTATTTTCTTCTATATAATCCTGTGCAACTATATAGTGCTCATTGGCCAAGCTCCTTGCAGAAGTAAAAGAACATCGCTCAATTTAAATATATAATAACCTTTCAACAAACAATTGCTAACAGTCAAGTCATTGTTCTCTGGCAAAACTTAAAATCTAGTTTAACTTCCTTTACTTGTTACAATCGGTAAACATTTATCTATTTTTCTTTCATTTTTAAGTCCATTTAAAAGGAAAAATACAACATAAATGTGGCTTTCGTTAACAATTTATAATAATCACAGGATGTACCAAAAGGTTTAAAAAACACACACGCCAGTAAGGAAAGTGTACATCTACACATCTTTTTACTGTTTTGAGAAAAAAAACCCAGCATAATTCCCTCATTTTAAACTTTTATACAATGTCTCTTAAAATATATTCTGCATTTCACTTCAAAAATGCATTTTATTAAGAAAAAAAGAAGGAACACATCGCAAATCAGGAAATGAAAATCATGGCATATGATACATCAATGCATTTTGATGCTGTAACGTTGCGGTTTCTAGCAGGGCAGACCGCAGAGGACTGTGCGGCTTCCCCATCTATAAACCTGTCTGCATCCCAGCTCCCAGCCAGCCTAATGCTGCTACTAAATAACATGAACGCTTGTAAACGCTTCGGAGCTGTTACGATGTTTGTATTCAACTTTGCATGAAATAAAAACTACCACTTCTGTGCTCAGTCCTTCCCTAGCCACCACAGGCCTTTCAATTAAAAAACAAAAGCCATTTGTCAACAGAGGTCCTTCATAAACTACTGTATTAATTTATATCCTTAAGATTTAGTCAGGCATTTACAGAAACATCACTATGGATATAGTGCTATGAGAAAAGACAGGCAGGTTTGCAAGGAGAGTTAAGGAGGATAATTTGGAAAATAAGATGCTTAATTTACATATTTCCAAATTGTTGTGGTGTGGACAAACTAAGGAATCCAATTTTTCCTTGGCAGGCGCCTGAAAAGCATGAGTATAAATAGCAAAGTATCTCGATTATATAATTGGCTTGTGAAATTCAAAGACAGCTACATGCCAGCATGTTGCATACATGGCCTCAAAATTAATTATTGCAACAGATGCATAAGGTTATTGATAATTCTTTGATCTCCCAGAATGTATATATCCCCTAATCGGAATGTACTATTTAGTAGGTTATATTGATTTCTGGTACTTTTTGAGAAATTTACCCCAGCATCATAAATGAGAAGTAACTAGAATGCAGACTTAGCATATATCATCTAATATGCCATCACCTCTCAGAATGAGCTTCCTTTAATCACTCTACTAGTTTTGCAGAAAAGAGGCATGGTTGCAGCTTATATTTCAAAAAGTTACGTCCTGGAGGTCAGTGCACAGCAAAATAGATGCCTGAAGGAGGATATATTTCATAATGGGGAATGGAGTTCTACACATTAAAGTGTCTCTTTTTTTCTAATACATAAGAACATGCTCTATGCAATACAGTCAAGGGAGATCAAAGAAAAGTCGGTGATAAACTTCAGAAAAACAGAAGTAGAAACCTATAAAGAAAACTGACATAACATTTGGGGAAAACATTCTTGGAAGTATATTTCATTTGAGATATTACAGTTGTAAATAAAAAATTTTTTGCGGTATTAAGCATCGTGTTTTTTATATGAACAAGTTTAGTTGCAAACATTTCACATTCTTTGGGAAATTGGATTACCCAGGCTTTTGACTACTGCCACTACCAACAATGATAGGAAATTAAAGAGAAAAATTTTCAAAGGCAAGACAACACATACTGACGTGCACTTTCTGAGTCTTGTCACATATGAATTTTATGTTCAGAGCTGAAGTCTGACACTCAAAACCTAATGTAGTCAAAATCATTAAGAATAGTCAAATAGAAAAAGAGGAATATAAACAAACCAATGACAACAAAACATCTTTCAAGACTATTGAGAAATTGTATTGAATGTAATACAGAGAAAGGCAAAGGGGTTTGTATACTTTTGGCCACTGAAGATGCAAACACCAGCCAAACAGGATCTTAGAAGCATTTCCAGGTCTATGAGTAACACCGTGGGAACACTAAAGCAAACACAGCATATGTTCAAATAAAGCAAGGTCAGAATAGTCCGATGTTGATTTTTACCTCTAACAAAACTTATGTATCACATGGTTGAGAGACCAGGGCTACAGTTTTCACACTTAAAAACTGCAGTCATCAAGCGAGTTAAACTTCTGTTTTAGATCATACCAGAACAGTTGGAAATTAACAGCAATATCTAATTCCTTGTTATACAGAATGACTGCTATGGGAAATATGTCACCGGATGAGGCCTCCTGGAGCCATCTCGAGTCTGGACATGGCAACATGGCAGTGCTGCAAATCCATTGCCTGTACATTCAGTGTAAGAGCATTTTATTGTCCGTTGAGAGCCCCTGGCTATTAAAACAGACTGTTGTAATTATAAGTTAAATCATAGCTGCCAATCAGAAGAAGTACTCTTTCTGATTTTCGCTGACTGCATTTTGTATATTAAGCTCACTTTTCAAAACAGCCTCAGCACTGTCTACATTCTCTGACCTTTTTGCCTCATTTCTTTTGTACAGCCTTTTCTGCTGATAAATGCGAACAGCTATGGCCGCGATGCACAGCAAGATAAAGATCACAACGGCTATCAAACCTAGTGAGAGAAGAGAAAAGAAATGCAAAATCAGAATTTTTGTCCAAAGGGAAACAGTGCTGACTTCATTGTTTAATAAGTCATAATAAAATTATTTTCAACTTGAATCAAGCATCTAGTATACATAAATTGGAAATATCAAAACTTCAGGTATTTCTGGATCAAGTGGTATCATAACATGTTGAATTTGCTTCTGAGTTCCATCAACCTTGTGGGTTCACCTCCATTTATTCAGAATGCATATTATGTTGGATTTATTCAGTGCATTTATATTTAACACATGATATTACCTGCATGTCTCTAAGGCCATGTGGTCACCTCATACTAATCCACAGACAAGTTTTAATTATTTTGAAATTATACAGTAGTAGTAACATCATAAAATAATTAAATGTTTTATATTTAAATATATAAACATTTTTTTCTGAGGAAGATTAGCCCTGAGCTAACATCTGCTGCCAATCTTCCCCTTTCTGCTGAGGAAGACTGGCCCTGAGCTAACATCCGTTTTCATCTTCCTCTCCTTTATATGTGAGACACCTGCCACAGCATGGCCTGACAAGCAGTGCGTAGGTCCACACCTGGGATCCGAACTAGCAAACCCTGGGTCGCCAAAGCGGAATGTGTGAACTTAACCACTGTGCCACTGGGCTGGCCCCTCAATACATAAACATTTTAATGAAGTTGATCTTCAATGATTTGCCATACTGCCAACTAGTACGAACAGGCTATGTATATGAATAATTCTGACTAATGAAATATATTGATATCAATATAGAGGTATATTTAGATTATTTCTATGTGAGGAATATTGATTTCTTGAAACATCTGGTTGTAAATAAAAAATTTAAATACCACAATTGTTAGCTATGCCAGTGGTTATCAACCTTGGCATTACATAAGGCCAGTAAATCCGTGGTGGTCCCCAGGACACTCTGAAGGGCTCCACAGGGTCAAAACTATTTTCATAATAATTCTAAGACGCTTTCTTCATTGTGTTGACATATCCACTGATAGTGCAAAACAAGGTTAGGTAAAATTCCTGGTACCTCAGCATGAATTAAGGCAAGGCCACCAAACTGTAACAGTGGTCACTGAATTCATAAAGCAGAAGGCAATGCACTGCCAGGCAATCGCAGGAGAAAGAAAAAAGGCAGATTCATTTGAGTGTCCTTGATGAAGCACTAAAAATTACTCACTTGATCACATCTTGACCTTCAGCTGTGTGTCTTTTTAACATTTTGACTGGTGAATGGAAAGCAGACATAAAGTCCTCCTGGCCTATCCTGAAGTGTGACAGTTGTCTCCAGGCAAGGGGTTGTGTGAACATTGGAATTGTGAGCTGAACTAGTTGCTTTTTGCTTCATGGAACAAAAAGTTTTTATTTGATGGAAAACTGACAAACAAATTATGACTGTTTTGACTTGGATATTTGGCAGATATTTTCTCTAAAAATGAATGAAGTCTGCCACTTCAAGACAAACAACTGACAATATATATTGCCAATGATAAAATTCAATCTTTCAAGTGAAAAATAGAATTTGGAAAACTATTTTCTGTCACTGTAAGTCTGAAAGTTTCCTAATACTTAGACTTTTCTGATGAAATCAGTGGCAGTATTAACTAATGGAGTTGTTTTTAGACAAAAATAGGTACAATGAAAACAGTAATGTGGATGAATTCTCCTACCGTAAAACTAGGACTCTTCATTCTAGTTTAAATTAAATTAAATTCAGCTCTAATGGAGTCTAACCAAGCCAGAACTTTGAAGGTTCTCACCGGTCCCAGTGGATTCCTGAGCACACGATTTGATGGGCAGATTCACTATAGCCAATGATAATATTGCCAACGGCTTAGCCGATTTTTGGCTAGGTCAGCCTTATCTGAGAAAGAAAGCAATTCCTCGCTGATAAATCTAATATAAATGTGTAACCAAATTCTGCACTTGAAATCTAAAGACTTTACTGATGGATATGGTTATTTTTGTTATTATTAGTGATATTAATAAATAATCATTTTAATCAGAATATCCATTAGTTGTTACATGTGGCCTCTCATCTTAGAAAAGTAATCAGTTGAGTGGCTCTAAGTATTTCTATTGTCTGGTGACAGGCCTCTTGTTTAAAGAGATATTCTGAACAACTTTAATGTGAAAAACTGCTGAAGTATATTCTAGAGAGAAAACCACTGCAATTATGAAATAAACATCAACATTACATTGGCCCAGACAGGAGATTCAGACAGTCAAAACCATGGATGGACTCTAGAACTAGCTTGTTCTATGGAGGTGATTTATCCCCTTTAATGTGGGGAAGGTATTATGTCAGGATTTGTCATGTCCAAGAAAAATTTTGTTCTAACCTGCTATATCAAAAAAAAAAAGATATTCTAAACAAATATGGCCAACTACCGAGCTCTAGGACATTGCCATCTGAAGCTCTATGTGACTGTGTTCTTATGAGCAAACTGTGTAGCTTTCTTTCTGTCTAAATCTGACCATCCTTACCTGTGTAGCCTGGCCAGAAACCCTCTACAGTATCTGGGTCACCAGTTTTAAATGTCTTATTAAATCAATTTTCCCATCTTCTATTATTTAGTACTTGTAAGTGAAGAAAAAGATACTCTAAAGTGTAGAACATAGGGGGATTAGCCAATTTGGAAAATCCTTAAATGGATTAATTATTGCTACATAGTGGGTGCAATCTATGAGCAACTAGACAACGGGCAGAGAATTCCACTACAATGCCACCTGATGGAGCAGCACACTAGAGGACGATATTCTGTGGTTTGGCAGATAAATTCTGTAGGGTTTGAAGCAAGGCCTTCCGAGCTTAGATGGTCATGACCAGCTGCTCTGCTTCTGAAGCTCAGTTCCTGCAGTGATCAAACATAGACACCAGATTTGTAGACCCTGGTGAGGCCCTGAGCTGCACACCTTCCACAGCGTCCGTCTCTACTCTGTGCATCTGACCTAAGTGAGAATTTCACAGGTGACCTGTAACTCGTTTCCATTCTGGGGTAACACAGAATGACTTATTGACACACCTCTCCTTTACTCTGTACATCTTGCCAATGATTTTTACTCAAAGAAATAATATTTCAAAATTAAATATTTTGTTCTAATATTGGCTTGACTATAAAATAACTCTATTTATATCTTTCTCTGTGTCTATATCTCCTTATATCTATACTAGTTAAATGTATAGAAAGAGCACCACTACGAGACTGAGACAATTAGTTTGACTAGGAATCCTAGTTTAAATGTTGAGCACATTTTAAAGGCTATAGCTTTAAATGAGTTCTTACCATACAATGTATAAATAATACATTAATGCATTTCTTTTAGACATGCAGTTATTAACTACTGTTTTAACAGAGTTTTTGTTTGAGGCTTGTTAGATGACCACAGGGGTATCCTATTTTATGTGTCTTTAATTTATATACCATTAATTTGATTTTAAAAAAAAAGCAACTGAAATAGTAATGGGGACGTGAACATCCTCAGAAAGATCTGACCAGCACCATTTTCTGTCTAAATAGAATCCTAACTACTTAAAGGAAGTTGATGTCTAGATGAGTAAGGGTGTAAAAAATAGAACCAAATGGATCAGGCATAAAGCCCACATAAGCTGCCCAAGCAGATGAGTAATCACATTATCTGGCACTGTAATAAGATCACTGTTTGCTTTTTATGTCCATATGATACGCAGAGTGTCGAGAAAAGGTGAGCCACTTAACATTTCAATAATCTGATTAATAACATTCTTAAGACCATTAATCAGGAAGAGAAAGCTTTATTTTGGGGTTGGTTTCAAATAAATTACGTCTCAGAGAATATACTGTTTCACTGCCAGGAAGATATACTTAAAATTTTTTTGTTAATTCTGTAATTTAACATAACTGTGAAGTGCTTTTCTTCCATTAGCCTAATAGTCAATAAAAATTCAAATAAAAGTGTAATATTCGTTGATAGGAGCGTCATCTAAGCCATAGAAATATCTACTTTATTACGCATTAAGGCAAGATTAAATATATGCTTCTAAAGGTAATCTCAGGTTTCTCTTACTTTTTACACAGACCCTTGCAGAAGCAGTGATATGCCCAAGAAGCCAACAAAAGTGATACTACTCCAAATAGACTCAGAATTCCCTAGGGATTGTGGGTGGCCATTTTCAAGCTAAATAATGTTCATTATTACACAGCTGAGCAACTATTCTCTGAGTGATGTGCTTCAGTGAAATTATCAATTATTTATACTGAAAATCTCCAAGGAAGCAGGGAATTCAAGGAGACTCTCTAAGACAATCCAATACAAGTAATAAACCACCCCCATTGACCTGAGGATTCAGGGCCTAACACTGACGATATGAATAGATTCTTCATAGGTAGTTTCTGTAACGCTAACTATTCACCATTATTAGTAATGATAAGCATCAAAGAAGAGCTCATTCAGGCTTTCTATTACCTCCAATGACGGCAGAGTCACTTTTGATTGCATTAGCTAGGGGTTCTCTGTCATCTCTTGTTCCAGAATGATCTGCAGTTAAAGGACAAAAAAAAAGCGAGGAGTGATATAGCAAGTAAAAAGAAACTTGGAAAAATTCATACATGTTTTAAGCCAGAACAGAATTATGGAGATGACTGTGGGATTTCTGTAATTTTAAACTTAAGCAATGTCAACCGCGATGGCCCACATGAATAAGTGAGAATCTAGAAAAGAAATGGGAAAGAGAACTGAAAACGAAACCAACAAAACCAATTTTAAGAAATCATCTCAAGAACGTAGCATAAGAGCAACAGCAGAAGATTTTAATATTCTGTGGGCAAGTTGTGTTTGTGACTGGGTAAAGGAAGAGCCATGAGCCACCTGCAAAGGAATGTGTCCTTTCCCTCGATGTGGCGTCAGTGCCAGCCTGGGCCACACAGCTGGACTCCGTCACGTGTCCTGAGACAGTGATGGGGGCTGGGCGGCTGGGGCGCAGCGCAGCCTTCAGAGGGGCCACGTGGCTGAGCTGCACTGCCGAGAGACAGCCCTGGAAGCCCTGTGCACCGGCCAGCGCTGTCTCCTGGTCCACATCACTGTGTTCTGTAAACCCAAAGAAACACCGCAACATTAACAATAGTCAAAGTACAAACGGGCGATGCTACAGATGGAATATTCTGACCCTGGATAAGGCAATAGCAATACATAGACAGCTACTAAATTCTTCTTTCCTTTGTCTTTATTAAAATTTTGAGTCAGATCCATTAAGTCTTTCCAACACTACTGATGAAACTTCCCAGGTTAACAAAGAAATGTTTTTAAGTGTGGCAAATTAAATAGGGTATTGCCAGCTGTCTGGAAATGATTAAATCCCCTAAAGCAGGGGTCAGGTTACGAACTGCTGAGGGTTCATGATGATGTTATCATGTAGTAGACACCACACCCCGAAGTTTTTAGAGACCCTCTCTAATTGCTCATATGCAGCGGTGAAAACTCGCGGTGAAAACTCGCGTAACTCGCTGCCTTTTCTCCCTGTTTCACTGTCCGCCATCACTCAGACAGAATTCTCTGTGCGCCCCCCACAGGACAAAGAACCCCCCCATACTAATGAGAGATTAGTTAATATGGGACTATTGTGGAACAGGGATTGGCTTGAATGCCAATTAGTTCGTAATTTTACAGTGAAAAAATTTATTTCTATTTCATGCTTGGTGAGTATGAAATCTAAACAAGGGGAGTTAATTGTCGAGTTATAAAGTTCAAATGTTATCAGACTACAGTGCATCGATCCACCCAATCTGGTCATAAAATAGTACAACGACTCTCTCCCGGACTGCAATATGTGGACACAGACAAGATTTGCACTTTTGTCTCTCTTTTTAAAAAATAATGTAATAGATATTAAGTATTTATTGAGCACATATTATGTGCTAGGCCCTGTTCTCAGGGATTCGCGTGTTTGTGTTTAAACGTGACAGCAGCCGTGATCGTCTTCTTCCAGTCACGCAGATGAGACACCAGGTCCAGGATTTTAGTGCTTCCCCCCGCCGTTACACAGCTGTCAGCATTATGTACTAGACCCCAGGCCTTCTGGACTCCAAACTCACAAGCTTCTTTGGTTTATGAACCACTTTCTGGTTGACACGTTCTCTCCTTTACTCAGCTTATGTCTTCTTCAGGGCCTTTTTCCGGCTTGAGATCTATTCTAGAAGTAACTCTGGGCAGCTCAGCTCTGACTGAGGCTGCCTTGTTATATCGAGGTTTTTGAAGAACACTTCCTTTTGCTCCATTTTCATTCACATTTTATACCTAACTATAAAAATACTGATTAAACGTTTAGTATCATGGGTACCATTCTCTATAAAAAGAAATCTGAAAATTAGAGAGATGATACCACTTTCCTGCTATGATGGGGGATATGGGAGTCAGGCCCAGACATTCAAACCTGGGAGACCATGTTCTTACCACCAGGCTACCCTGCCTCACTGCACAGACAGCACTGAGAGAACATCACTCTGCTGCTGACGTGCTGAACTGTAAGCTCCCGGAGGACATAGATGACCCTCACCGTCCAGCATCACGTTGTTACATGCAGGCATTTCACGAACACGTATAAACCGAGGAACTAACTTAGTCCAACCACACAGCAGTCACTCATTTGACTGGATGTACATTCAAACATATTTTTAGAAAAAGACAGCATTCTTGCTTTGGGATTTTTTTACTTTTACAAGAAATGAAAAGGAAATATACTTTAATAGCAACATAATCAGGACAGTGCTTTTCACATTTCTTCCACAAGGTTAAAATCTTGAATACAATTTCTATAGACCTTTTAAAAATCTTATCTCTTTTTCAGAACTCCTTTTTTTTTTTTGAGGAAGATTAGCCCTGAGCTAACATCTGCTGCCAATTCTCCTCTTTTTGCTAAGGAACAGTGGCCCTGAGCTAATATCCGTGCCCATCTTCCTCTACTTTTTATGTGGGATGCCTACCACAGCATGGCTTGCCAAGCGGTGCCATGTCCGCACCCAGGATCCGAACCAGTGAACCCCGGGCTGCAGAAGTGGAAGGTGTGCACTTGACCACTGCACCACCCGGCCAGCCCAAAAATCTTACCTCCTGAACCAAAAAAAAAAAATATGTAAATAGATAAGATTCACTTCTATGGTAAAAATCTAATATGAGGTGACTTTTTAAAAAAAACACTTATTTTTTCTGTGAGGAAGATTGGCCCTGAGCTAACATCCATTGGCAGTCTTCCTCTTTTTTAATGTGGGATGCCGCCACAGGGTGGCTTGACGGGCAGTGCTAAGTATGTGTTGTGATCCAAATCTGGGAACCTCTGGCCACCGAAGCAGAGTGCACAAACTTAACCACTACACCACCAGGCTGGTCCCATGAGGCAATTTTTTAAAACTACACCTTCAAATTAAAAGCACTTTATCTTTCACAAATTATTGTATAAAAAAACACTTTAAAGTCTAAAACTTAAAATGGACAGTTAGTCAATTAATATTTCTTTTCAGAGCTAAAGAGACAGGAAACAAATTCCCCGCAGTTCAAGCATCTTGCATCCTAGGAGGGGAGACAGAAAATAAACGTAGAAAAAGAAACTAACGAAAATTTTGAAGAGTGAAAATGCTATGAAAACATAAATGAGAAAATGTGCTGGAATGTATCTGGAACAGAAATTTGTCTTGATGGATTTGGTGATTTTTTTATGTCTACCTTAAGGACGACTCTTTTCATAGGCTTATTCTCTTAGTAGTCTGTAGATGTTACTCCAGCATCTCAAAATTTGTAAGATTGCTGGTGATTTATGAATTTTTATCGGATTGTCCCTGGGTGTGAGTGTTCTGTCTTATATTCTGCATAGAACATGGTGGGCCCTGTTGATCTGCAGACACACGGTTTTTCTCTAGCCCGGAAAAGTTCACATATTGTGCATGCAATTATTGTGTCATCTTCATCCTTCTTATCCTCCTGGACTGCTGTTTATTCACATTGGGTTTTCTCTGCATATTTTCTAACCTATTTTATTTTCCCTCCTGGTTTGTATCTTTGGGGACTTATTTTCACATGAGTCAAGTGCTTCATTCATTTGCTCTTCCAGGTAATGAATTTCAGTATCAACAAAGATCACTCTTTCCTGCTGAATTGTTCAGTCTGAAAAAATCATACATTTTAGGTCCTCGAGGTCTTTTTCTTGCTTTACTGGAATTTCCTTCAGGTGCTCTCACTAAGTTTCATTCAGGACGGTATCTGTTTCCCTGAATAGCTTTATTGTGACCGGGAATGATTCTGGTTGCTGTGGGTTTTCTCCCAATTTACTGCTGTTGAATCTTCTTAAATATGGGTCTGTTTTTCTCATCTGCTGGTTGATTCTCAGTCACTGACTTCTTTAGGTGGCTGACGCTCGGAGAAGGTGGACAGCGTGGCCATCTGCGTCAGTGAAGCTATAGGACAAAGCACCAAGAGGAAGGCTTTCTCCCCACCCAACCTCGGGATAGAGAGGAACTGACCCAAGTTTCAGGTCATCCTCAGCAGGATTCAGGAAACTCTCAAATTTCAGACCATTCTCTTTTTGGCAAAGAGGGAAAAGAGGCACAGTGATGTTTTCCAGTGCTGGCCTTCCCCACGGTGTTCAGGGAGCTAACCATTTCCCTGGATTCACACAATTCAGGGTCTCCCCGAGACTCTTCTAGGTGAGCCCCCAAACTCTCTTCCAACCAGAAAGCAGGGAGTCCCACAACACCTTCGCACTGGCAACCCCTAGGCTCCCCTCTGCCTGCTGGGCTGGACCAATCCCCTGCTGGGTTGGAATTAGGAATAGGTATGAAGGGGAATTACAGAGACTTTGCAGTCTTCTCCCTGGAATTGAGTCCCCAAAAAGTAATGGCTATATGAAGTTACTCATAGGCAAAGCTGGCTGTGGAAATACATAGCATCAGATATCTGCATTGACAACTGTGCTAATAAATCCAATGAAACAAATATGTATCTTTCCTATTATCTGAACTCCTGAAATGCCATCATGTAAAGATTAGAAAAGGGAAGGTGAAAGAATTGAAGACAAATGTCTCCTGCTTTACATGAATACCGATGAGACAAGTCATGTTCTGGACATTTCTGGTCATAAAAATCCTTAACTGATTCAAATTATTGGATGATTTTGTCTATTTAAGAAAATTAGCCTCAACTATATTTTCCAACGAAAAAAGTGACTTCTGCTTTGTCAAAGAAGAGACCTTTTAACAAAAGGTCGACAAGAAAAATAGAGCACCAAGGAATTAAAATTCCTATGAAGTGCCTTTTTATTACTGTTTCTGGAAAGGATATGAAGTAAATGGAAGAACAATTATAAGGAGTGCTTCATGAAATCTTTTGTGGCACTCATAACAAAAACAAAAAAAAAGGCAACAAAAAATAAAACTCAGAAAACAAATCTAAGCAGTTTGGTCAAACCTATGAAAAGAGGCCATCTTTAAAAAGGATCTCGATATCTTTAATGCACAAAGTTAAAGATGAAGAAGACTTGTCTGAAAATGGTGCAACGAATCAGAGGAGGAGCAGGGCTAGAACCCAGCAGGGCGTTTTACCAGTATATGCAATTACAGTGAGAATTCAACCATCACAACAACAAAGGGTTAGCAGAAAGTAAAATGGCAACGCAGACAGCAAACACTATGTGGACAAAGGAGCAGTTTTTCATAAAAGGCGTTTATTTGCCAACCAAACCTACTGCTCTGAGATGGAACCTCGTAAACCTGAATTGCACAAAAGCTATTTATAGTTAGACATCTTGGGGTAACCTGTCTTTCTCTTTTGCTTTCAGCATAACCTGTCTCAACGTAAGTGTCGTTTGATAAGATATTTACAAAGTCACAGTACCCTGAAGTAATCTAATTAAACTTTCTTATGTGCCCCCTTAACTTTGAAGCAGGTTTACGTAAAATAGCCCTGAGATTGAAGTTTGTTCCTAAAGCACTCGGGAGGACATGGAGTAGACATCCTCTTCCCTCTGACCACACACTTTATTTACATCTGGCCCAAGTCTCCACTGCAGAAATCTCAGTTACTTCCTGGCTCTGCAGCCTCAG